CGAACGGTCCAAAAAACGCTGTTTTCATCGCGCAGCTCACAAATTATTAAAATAATGGAAAAAAAGAAAACCGCTCACTCAATAATTTCGTCCTCGTAAAGGGATTCGTCGACATCAGGTTCGGTTGATCCGACAACATCTGGGATCTTTCTCCGATCTCGTAATCCCTTCATTTGAGAAAATTCGGTTTCCTCTTTGGAACACAGCGCAGTAATTCTTCGTACACTTTCCTGTGAATGAGCTGAAATATAAATAATTGGGTCTGGGAAACTCAAAATCGAATGCTGATATATATATATATATGGAGTTCAAAAAAGCCAAATTCAAAGCTCTAAGCATAATTAGCATCGTTTTTTCCTCGCCGTTCAAGCGATAACAATCCTATCAAACTTCACACACCAGATAAAGCATTCACCGCTGGATAATAAGGGAGACAAGTAAAACGGACAGCGTCATAGGAGAATAAAATGCATTAAAATTAAAGCGTGTATTCGTCCTTGATAAATCGATCTAATAAAATCGATCTTTGAGTGCGCGTTCGGTCGTGTGAGTGAACAGGCGTAAACATGATTGTCCTACCGNTTTATTGGAAGTGTGCACGGAAAGGGAATGATGGTGGAGGCATCACAACTGGTTCGGCGAGTTGAGCACAAGTGTGCATATTTGCTAGCGGACGTGCAAAGCCACGCGCATAATCAGTCACAAATGGCGCACATCGCCAAGCCATTAAACAACCTACAGAGCATTTACTCACCAGCGNAAAGAACATGCAAAGGTATCCGGAAGATGACAATTACAATTCGATTTTCGAGAACAAGAATGCGGCAACAATCGTTACAGGCGAGACAAAACCACTGAATGCAATTTAATGGAACAATCAAGTGCCGGCAACAAACCGGTTTCCAATTTATGCAAATATCACTGATCACACTCGCACGACGGTTTTGGTTTTTGAAATTAGAATGATGCCCAAACCTTTTGCGAAAACGGTACATTGGAGTTCGGTAGCTCAAATCTTGTTGGGTAAAAATGAATGCTGCATTCACTGAATTCCCTTCATTCAAAAAATTATGAGAAAACTATCGAACTCTCTCCGTTTCGCAGTGCATGCCACCAACATGATTACAATCACTGATCGTCAAATAACCATGTAGCTAAATTTCACCTGAGCCCTGCAAGAAAATACTCGCAGAAACGACTCAATTCTTCATTGACGTGGTGAATGTGGCCACGACAATGCATTTCCCCCTTGTCGAATGCCATCTACCCGAGAAGGTCTTCCAGAGAAAGTGAATGAATCAACCGACCGGTCACCGACTTATCTGGAACAATACCGCTGCCTTGTAGCTCGCGCTTGCCTTTAGGCAAGAGTGCATCCTCGAACAAGGCCTACTCTGGACTGGGCGACCGAGTAGTACAACAGCCCACAAAGCAAACAATGAACTTCAGTTTAATCAATAACTCGTTCTTTCAGTTCTCCTTGCGCATGAAAAAACGCTTTACACCGTGCACACCTTCCTTTTTTCCAGCTTTCCCTCTACCTCACATTCACCCCCCCCCCTCAAACATTCCCATTAGTATCAGGATCTTCAGACAATCGTACTACCAATTGTGCCTGCGAGGGAAATTCTGTCATTTTTCTCTCGCGTCCTGCCTCGAATAGCGTCCAAGTCTCACCGAATCTTTCTCCATCAGTTAAACTTCTTCTTCGTCCTCGATGCCCATTCAAACTAGCCACATTTAACTTGCATACCTTGATGTGTAAAGGACAACGAGCGTATTTAGCTCGTACCCTCGAGACCCTAGCCATCGATGTGTTGTATCCAAGAGACTCGCGTTCAATACTCTAGTTCCGCAATACGATTGACGTCCCCGTCAAACCCATCCGCGAAGTTTTACCTGCGTCTTTCAGGGGACCCTGAGGCTGCGGCTTCTGGTCTTGCTGGCGTTGGCGTGGCTCTCAGTGAGATAGCTGAAACCGCGCTCCTAGATTGGATCTCAGTCGACAGTAGGTTATGCGCAGTGAGACTTAGAGGTGCGTACAAAGTAAGCAGCCGTAGCTCCGAAAGACGCGGATTGTTTGTCGTCTCAGTAAACGCACCTACGAATCGTAGCCCAGATACTTTCTACCAAAAGCTACACGACCTCTCGCATAAAGTAAATCGGGCTGATATCGTGATTTAGCAAGAGATATGAATGTTAGAGTAGACCGACTGACTTTGAGTGAGGCGCATCTGGGTGGTCCTTTCGGACTAGATTCCTGTGGCTCGGAAAACGGCTGTTGACTCTGTTCGGACCAGCGCCTATTCTTAGCCAGTACGAATTTCAGGCGCTATAATTGCCGATACGCCACTTGGTTTCCACCCTCCGCTAAAAACGCAGATAGACCACATCGCTATAAGCCACAAATGGCGGGGTTGCATTGAAGACTGCCGATCGTACTGGAGCACAACCCTCGAATCCGATCACGCGTTAGTCTGCACAAAGCCATCCATGTACTTCGGTAGGCGTCCTAAACGTACGGTACGGAGGAGGTTAGACTGCGATAAGTTGTCTCACCCAGCATGCTTAGCCGTCTTTCAAGACGCGCTAGCTGAAAAGCTAGAAACAACCCCACCCGGTGACGTTCACCAGCACTGGTCGCTTATCAACAATGCTCTGCATTCTGCTGGCTTAGTTAGTTGTTGTCTGACACGCCGTGTCGTGGCACCCTGGATTTCCGCTGAGTCTCTGCGCCTTCCTGACGCACGTCGATTACTTCCGACCGGCAGCGAGCATAACGTAACATGGCTTGTAGTGAGACGTGAAAATAACGGAATCCTACGCAGAATTAGCGAGATCTGGTCAGAAATGGAAAGTGCTATCGACATGGGAAATTCCCGTAAGCTGTTCCATCTCATCCAAGTCGCCGGTAGGAAAACTTTGGGTGTGAGCGAGACGATCTATGAAGCTGATAGCTCGCTTATGCACAATCAACAGCGACGTCTTGAACGCTCGGCGGGGCACTTCAAAGCAAAGTTTAGCTGGTCACCAGCGTCAGCTCGTCATACAGCTATCCCGGAACACGTTCCATGGTCTGTATCAACAGACTCACTCTCTGAAAACGAAATACTTAAGGAAATCCATGCCTTGGGACGTCACAAAGCGCCGGGCTCCGATGGCCTCACACGGCTCTATTTAAAGATGATCGAATAAAGCTTGTTAGAGAACTCTACGTCCTGTTCTCTAAAGTTTGGAACACTGAGAAGGTCTCCTACTCGTGGAAGGAGTCGATAGTCATCCCCATATAAAGAGAGGGTTCGCGCAATGATTGCGCCAATCATAGGGGCATAAGCCTGATCCCAATAGCGTCAAAGCTGTTGGCGTCCGTCATTCTTCGCAGATTGTATAAAACGCGCGAGGAACATGCCCGCAAGGTGCAAGCTGGGTTTCGTGCCAGTTGCGAATGCATTGATCAAATCTTCACCCTCCGACAGCTGCTAGAGCACCGTCACGCCTACCAAAGACCAACGGTCATTGTATTTTTAGACTCTGTCGATAGGACCGCACTATGGAACTGTTTGTTGAGGAATGGAGTACCCGAGAAGTATGTGTCGATCTTCAAAGAGTTGTATCGTCATACCTCAGGTCGGATTAGGGCTTATGGTCAGCTTTTGCCACCCCTCGACGTCTCCAGTGGAGTTCGACAAGGCTGTCCCAAATCCCCTTTTCTTTTCGTCATAGAGCACGTTCTGCAGAACGCTTTGCCCGGTTTAGCAGACGCCGGAATCTAACTCCTCCCAGGGAACAAAGTTCTTGGCTTAGAATATGCCGATGACATCACCTTGCTGGGTGACAACACACAGGCAGTCCAAAACGCTTTGAACCGCTTGGCGATAGAGGTATCCAGATATGGTATGTGCTTAGCACCACCAAAGTGCAAAGTGCTGGTTCAAGACTGGCAGGAGCCTGTGCTTGCACTCACCCTCTGTGGTGATCAGCTGGAAGTGGTCGAGAGCTTTAAGTAGCTCGGAAGCTTAATTACAGCTGGAGGTGGGGTTGGGGAAGAGATCACATCACGAATAGAGCAGCTTTCGCCAACCTGCAATACCTGTTGGGCCGTCGTGACATCCGACTGTCCCTTAAGGGAAGGATGTACATCGCCGTGGTCCGTAGTGTTCTGCGTAACGGCTGCGAGACCTGGCCTCTCCGAGCGGAGTATGATAATTAACTTACCGTATTCGACCACCGATGCCTTAGAAGCATTGCTCGTGTTTGGTGGGAACATTGGATGAGGAACGACGAAATTGGTCGTCGTGTGCTGAGTACTGAAATTCTATCTCTAACGGAAGAAATCATTCTACACCGCCTCCGATGGCCCGGTCATAGTTTGCATATGCCTATCCATCGATTGTCTTTCCGTGCTCTCTTTGCACGTGCTGGGCAAGGCTGGAAGAAGCTTTGCAGCGGTCAGACCATGGCGTGGTGTGAAGGTATGATGAAGTTAGCCTCAGCATTGGCTTCGGTTGGTGCAGCTCGCCGTCCAAGCTGGGGCCCAAGGGATGAGGATTGCCGATGGCTAGAGACGCTGGGAGATATGGCTCAGAATAGATGTCAATGGTGCGATTACTGTGCGGTTTGTTTGGCGAAACCCCGTTCCTCATAACACAAAAAAATCTTCAGAAAGTGTACGGTGGAACTACCAAAAAATATCCATTTTCGTTTAATCGTTCGGTGATTATCTGCTACTTTCATTACACCTGGTAAATCCCCGTGTTATAAAGATTATACAATATGGACAAACTCTAGACGTATAAAATATTTACATATGGTACGAGAAAAAGAAAATTGATTGCCGTGCGAATTAGATGCGAGCTACTAACAGATAGGTGATCATTAAGAATAACTCACCTGAGCAGTGTAAAGGTAGACGAGACATATCCGGTGAATCCCACGCCTTATTAATCTGTTCAATTCGATAACTCCCACTGAAAATTATCGGGGAAGAGGAACTATGTGAAGCTAGTACCCACCAGGACAAGTAATTTTAAAAAATCCATGATAAATTCTAACACACGTGACAGAAAATGAATAGTAAGAGGAGAACACGCCGATTAATGGACTCTGAGAGGAACAGCTAAACAACACGAGGTGGGGTGGTGGTGATAAACGAATATATATACCACCATCAGTCTGTACAACGATTAACCACGGACTTTCGTGCGCCGGTTTTGGTTGCTGTCTTTTGGTTGGTCATTTGGATGAAGCAGGAGAAGAAAGACAGGAAAGTTGAAAGTTAAGTCTAGGAGAAAGTGCAGACTTTAGTTAACTAAGGTTGCACAGATGCAGATACGGTACGAAAATAATCATTGGTTGAAACAGAAATACAGAAACAGTACAAGGGGGCACACAATAACTATCAATTTCGGAAAGGGACTATTTACTTTTTGTTGTTTATTTACTACCCACCTGGAAACCGGCTGCTAAAATTGGCAGCGGTGCTCTGATCAACACAGCCCCTCATGCAGCGGAAACCGCTTTGATTTTCAAACTTAAACACGTCCCCTATGGCTCCGAAGCGGTTAGACCAAATCAAATTGATGTCACAATCGTTNGTTGAGGGGGAGAAACCTTGGGCTCGGAAGTTGGTGGTGCGATAGCAGTCTCAGCAACAATCAGTACACAACAATTCCATCTACCGTTCGCGACCAGCACGTCTTACGGCCGATCCCGGTGAGGTGAATAAGTTTGCGTTGAACAAAACACGTTCCCAGAAACTCGTGGAGTAATACCTTTCTTACCTTATTGAGTGAGTAAAGACTCTTTTATATTATGTTTAAGGACAA